CACAATTCCCGTCAACGATGCCTGATCTTTTAATCCAACCAAATGGAAGCCCTACCTATGATTCCCAGGTCATGGTATCCCTTTTTGGCTTATACTATGAGAATCTTTATAACTGTTGACCCCAGACCTTCATCCGTCCCTCACACAGTCATCTTTTGATAATTTGTTTGATCCCCTATCGCTTCCGAGACTATCACCCTCAGACATTGCGGTCCTTAATGCCGACATCATATCTGAGGAATTATTTGACACAATTAAACATCTCCCCTCTCGTAAAGCCCCGGGACCAGACGGATTGCTCTACTGCTATTATACATCCTTCATTGGTATCCTGGCCCCCCATCTCCTCTCTCTTTATCAAGATCTTTTCAAAGGTGTCACACCCCAGACTGAGTTCTCCCGTGCATATATTTCGGTTATCCCCAAACCCGACAAGGACCACTCTATTGTAGACAACTATCGCCCTATTGCCCTACTAAACTCCGACTACAAGATTTTCACTAAAATCCTGGCCAACCAACTGTCCAGACTTATCTCCAAGCTCATACATAGGGATCAAGTAGGCTTTGTACCTGCCAGGCATGCTGCAGATAACACCAGGAGATCTATTGATCTGGTTGACTTGGTTAACCATTCCTCCATCCCTGCTGTACTATTGAGCTGAGATGCTCAAGAAGCTTTCTACGGTCTAAGTTGGCCTTACATGTTTATGGTCTTGGAGAGGATTGGCTTCTTGGGTCCATTTGTGGCAGCCTTGAAGGCTCTTTATTCTTCCCCCCTTTCGCAATTCAGATTAGCCTCCTTTTTTTCATCCCCTTTCCAGATGTCAAATGGTTGTCCACTCTCTCCTTTACTGTTCATTCTCTGTCTGGAACCATTAGCTATTGCCATCAGGTCTAATCCAGATATCTGTGGGATACAATCCCATACCCATAGTACAAATTTTCCCTCTTCGCAGATGACATCCTCCTCACACTATGGAGCCCCCATACCTCCCTACAGTTTTTACATAAGACCTTGCGACAATTTGGGGCCCTACCAGGGTACAAAGTTAACACGTCGAAAACTGAGGCACTCCCACTACACGTCCCACCTGTCGTTCTGTCTTCTCTTCAGGAATCCTTTCCTTACCGGTGGTGCACCCACTCTTTAAATTATATAGGTACTAATCCTAATTCCTCCTAACACTCCATATATGAGGCCAATTTCCCCCCCTATTTATAGCAATTTCTCACTCTCTGAAACACTGGGATTCCCTACCCATTTCTTTCCTTGGACGCATCAACGTACTAAAAATGACTGTGTTACCCAAACTTCTATATTTATTTGCGACCGTCCCCGTTTCTGTCCCTATGTCCAAACTTCACTCCCTTCAGAAATCTTTCCTGCATTTTATTTGGCACAACAAGTGGCATAGAATTGCACGTTCTGTTTTGCTCTCCCTGTGTTCTAAGGGGGGCTTGGGGGCACCGGATATAGTAACCTACTACTATGCAACTCACCTTCATTTTCTCATGTCGTGGTCCACTCATTATCCTCCCAACACATGGACTGAGACTGAATCTTTGCAGCTATCTGTGGCCCATCCTTGCTCCCTCCTTTGGTCGACCTCAGTAGTGGATGTCTCTTCCTTTCGCCACCTATTCCTTGTTCCCATGCACTTTTCTCTGACTGTTTGGCAGAAATGTAAGGCTAAATTTACACTGGTCTCTGACTGTTCCTCACTGACAAATATCCTCTATAACCCTGATCTCCCAGACAATATGGCTGTGTCCCGGATGTCTCCTTGGGTTGCAGCCAAACTTTTCTAACTGTGTCACTTGGTACACCCGGTGACTTGGAAATTACATTAATTCTCAGATCTCCAGAAAAAAGCTCTTCTACCATCCCAACACTTATATATTTAGCTTCAAATACACCACTTCTTTTCTACCATGTCACCCTCATTGATCCTGGGTAAACCTACTCCCTTTGAACGTTTATGCACACAGGGTCCACACCAAAGGGGTATTATTTCTAACACATATAAACTTCTTATGGACACTCCCTCCTTATCCAATGACACTCACCTTTACATGCGTAAGTGGTCTCAATTCCTACAATGTGACATTGATTTTTGTTAATGTGGAAGAAAATTTGGGAAAACTCACCTAGATCTTCTGTCTGTGTGGTCTTTAAGAAAAATACATACAAGATCATGATATTGTGGTACAAAATGCCTGAAGTTCTCCACGCTTACAACCCGAGTGCTTCTCCTGCTTGCTGGTGATCTGGTAAAGACCTTGGTTCACTCTACCATATTTTTTGGACATGCAGTTCCATTACTCCCTTTTGGGAAGATGTTTTTTCCTTGTTACAATCGCTATTGCAAACCTCTCTCTCATTTGAACCACTATATTTTTTACTAAGTCTACCATTCCCGGGACTACCTAAATCATCCAGGAAACTTTCTGTACATGTCCTGACTGCGGCTAGGAGAAGCATTCCTATCTGTAGGCTATCCTCTACTCCCCCTTCAATGCCGATCTTGTACAAAATGATTGCTGATGTAAGACAGATGGAGTATTTTTGAGGCAGTATGGCATCCATGGGATACCTTCATTTCTTCTTTACCGGACCAAAATGTAATGTCCTAATAACCTCTACACTGTTATTTTATGACATTGCTTGTCCTGAACCTATGCAGTTTTACCATCGATGTACCTTTCTGTTATGTTTCTTTTTTTTTTCTTTTTCAAACATACTGTTTGTATATTTACATGAAAACCAATAAAAATTGTTAATATAAAAAAAGAAATGTTTATTAACTCAATCAGATGAGCAGCTATCTGTGTTAAGTACTGTAATAATATGTGATAAACAGCAGAGGTCACACCACAGCTTATATAACTGAATACACACTTGCACATGTGTTTTCCAAGTCTGGAGGAACAGTTGTATATAAATGTATGTGTGTAACTGTTAGGGGAACTGTTATTTGAAATAACAAACGTTATTTAAATGTAATTTCATTATTATTATTATTATACAGGATTTATATTGTGCCATAGCGCCAACAGTTTGCGCACCGATTTACAAGAGGAAACAGGGGGCCCAGCTCATTAGAGCTTACAATCTAGGAGGATTTCATCATCTGTCATTCATTTTTTAAATCTCTCTTTTTATATCAGTGGAATCCCAGTTTAGTTTAAAAAATAAAATCCTTGAAGCACAAAAATTATTTGTATAATTTTTATTAAATCTTGCATGCATAAAGTTTGGGTTCATTGCTGAATCAGATATTTCTTTGACACGCTTGTCTTGTTGCAGAAATTTAATCTGTAGTTCAAGTAGCAGGATTAGGTTTACTAAGTACTAAGTGTAGGTGTTACCCCTAGTTAGGTATTATGCACCATCTCACTGCCATCATTATTAGTTTAGTTAGTACTTAATATTTTAGGTTACATCTATCTATCTATCTATCTATCTGTCTGTCTGTCTGTCTGTCTGTTGTCTGTCTGTCTGTCTGTCTGTCTGTCTATCTATCTCTTTGATTTTCTTTCCGTTACTACTCTACTTCTTTAATTTTGCCTGTGCACTAACCATATGCCCCTAATACAGAAAGCACTTTAGTCAGTTGGACTTTGAGTGTTTAAGGCCAGTGGCAGTGTGACCATTGTAAGTTAGCTAGAATAGCACAGCTATTATTAGATCCAGGTTATAGGGAAATGTTTCCTCCTTGCCAAATAGGAAGAAAAGCTTCTTTTCAGTGCTCAGGGAATAGAAATTGTTTTTGCTTCAGAAAAAAAAGAAAGAACGCTAACAACTCACTAAAGTACAATGTATACTATTTAAACCTGCTTTTAAAAATATCCATATCCATTCAGTGCTTTAAGTGTTCTATTTTCGCTTGTGTAATAGCATTTTGGATTTCTTCTAATGTATAGGTTTGGCCTCAACAAATAACACTAGCCCAGAGTTTGAGAGGAATTATACATTTTAGGAAAAAAACAGTGCTTCCAGCTAAATAGGGGGGTAAAAGAAGTAGTACTGTACTTGAAATAATGAAAAGTAAAGAAAGTGTAAATGAAGTGATATAATACAAGAAGTCCCCCAAAGTGATGTTACTTCATGCAGAAGGAACCTTTATGTGAGATTCCAGATGATAATCCACTGTGCAAAGCAAAACTCACCAGACAAAATAGACATTTTATTTCAGAAGGTTAAACTTGCTCAGAGGTCACTAATGGCAATCAGCAAATCAGTACGACAACAAATGAAGTATAGTACTATTTGCATTGCAGGAAATGTGGCAGTGAAACAAAGGGGTTGATTTACTGAAGGCAAATAGACTGTGCACTTTGCAAGTGAAGTTGCTCTGGAGTTTAGTAAATGAGGTCAAGCTACACTTTACAAAGTTTACCCAATAACATGCAAGCAAATTTAAAAAACAGTATATTTGGTTGCACATGATTGGATGATGGAAGTCAGCAGAAATTCCCCTCATTTACTAAGCTCTGGAGCAACTGCACTTGTAGAGTGCAACTGCTTGCAAAGTACACAGTCTATTCGCCCTTAGTAAATCAACCCCAAATTCTCTTTTGGCTCAGCTGATGTTATTGACACAGTCAAAACCAGATCTGCTTAGAGGTTTTGAGCCTCCTCCATGGATCACATACCACACAGCAAGCAAAACCAATATGACATATCCTAGGCTTTACCCTTTGCGTTTCATCACTCAGATGTTATAGGATCTGCAGGGTCTGATGTGTGTTGAAGGCTCAAAGTCCAGGACGTGGGAAAATCTAGTTTGTTACAATATTGTTATTTTATCTTCTTTTAAAGTGTAAATACTTACCTTATTCCTAGCTCTAGCAGGCTCCCTCCAGTGCTCCAAATGGTCCCTCGCAGCTGCTATGTAAGCTGCGGAATGACTCCGGCCGCATTCCAGCCTCCTTAAAGTATAATGCAGGGTTATTGTTCCTGTACTGTATGTGATGACGCTGATGCTCTGCCCACAGACTGGAGCATCAGGCACAGGAAGGAGAGCCCTGGGGCTGGCAAGGAATCAGGTCAGTGAAACAGACTCTTCTGTAATCCCATAGACATAACAATCAATCAACTTTTACATTGCAGGGGTTCCTCACTGCAAAGGTGGATTTTTTATTTTCCCAGAGCTGGGCTCTATAATCTCTTCAGAAATGTATTTCATATTCAAAAGATGGTTTTAGGGCTTATTCGCTTTGTTTACTAACCTGCACTAAAACACTTGAATTTTACTGCATGAAAACGCAGTTTTTGCAAATATCCCATTCTTTCCTGTGTGGCCACATCACTTTAACTTCCTGCAGTTTAGTGTGTTTTTAAAGGGAAACTTTAGGAGCCTAGGCACACCTACATGTGTATGCTACTATGTAGACTGCAATCCACATGTGGGCTCCTTGAAGTGATTCATACAAAGGCAATCCCATGTTTTATTTCCCTTTTTAGAAATTCCAAGATTTTGCCTGCTTTTGCAGCTGCTGCTTGAAATTTAGATTTTTTTTTTCAGTTCTGTTTAGTCTAAATGTATTTCATATAATGTTTATAATGGAAGTAAACCACTATAATGGAAGTAAACTATTACTTTAGCTTGTGTACCTCCTTTTTGTTTCTAGAATAAATTTTATTTGCCATGGGTTTGAATAAAATGCACATATCACATTCCACTTGATGTCATTTTAAAACAGCACTTGGATAGCAGCTATTCATCTTAAAATGGATCCTGTGCATCCCAGTGGGGGTGCAGGCTGCATCCAAAACCAACCACAAGGACTAATCAGCTCCTGGGCTTCTGATGCTTTTGCAAATCGCTCCATAGGGGGCCACTATATGGATAGGTTCACATTTGTGTGGGCACAGCAGCCCATTCATTGTAATGGGCTGCTGTACCTGCAGGAGAACTCAAGGGAAAGGTCCCATCACCTTTTTAAAATTGCAGCTGCACGGAAATAGCATAGCGTTTGCACCATGCGATTCCTGCACCCATAACTTAATGAATGGCACCTCCATGCGTCTGCAAAAGAGCAGCACTTTTTGCTGCAGATTCAGGAAAATGTGCTATTTAGGCGCTGTCCTGCACCTGCAACCACCCACAGCAGAGTGAACCTAAGCTAAAAAATAAACAGAAACAGAATACTTCTGTATTATGTTTGTATTGGGAGTATAGTAACATCACAAGTAGGGGCGGACTGACCATTTGGAAACTCGGACACTGCCCGAGGGCCCGGGGTCATTAGGGGGCCCCATGAGATGCCCCTGGTACCATTTTCATAGGCTTTTTTGAGTTTGGGCAAGGACACAGGGGCCCCATGATCCCCTATTGCCCAGGGGCCCCATGAGTTGTCAGTCCGCCCCTGATCACAACTGAAGTAAGGCCACTCCCTTTCAGTACAGAGGCCAATACAGAGCTGTTCTAGCTTAGTCCAGCCTCTCCCTGCAGCAAAACAATACTGCTACAGCGATCTATTGTTGACAGATTGCAGACAGCAAAAGATTACTATTGGCCTGGAGGGTTCCAGCTATATGGCGGTGCGCCATTCGTTTGCATAAATTACATTGCAATGAGAAAAATGACAGAAAAAAAATTATAATTTTTTAATATCTATTCCTAATAAGAAATCAAAGAAAAATATGATTTGCTACCAACATAAATTCCTATCCCCCCCCCCCCAAGCATTAGGGTAAACAAACACCTTCAAAATGAAAAAAAAAAGTTTGAGACTCAAGGAAGTTTAGGGAGAAAAAGGCTTGGGGAATCAAGAGGTTAATATAAGAGACAACAATTAAAATCCCTTGCTCTGGCTTTCAAAAATCTGCAAGCTTGTATTGCCACTGCTGTAACGGCAGAGGACTAAAAGCCAAACCATTCTATTTGTATAACGAAGAAAAAATATTTTTCAAGGATCAATATTTTATATAACTGTCAGAAAAGTGTCTCTCCTTGTTCTTTAACAAGCTGCTCACTACAGTCGTGATGACAGCTTTACTTAATAACAATTTTTAAAAAGAAAAACTATTTAGCACATGCACACTGTGCATGTACCTTTTAAAACACAAAGATAATTCTTAACGTGTGGTGTCATTTGTAAATTGGATATTATATGAGCAGGGCCGTTGCTAGACTATTTTGCACTCTAGGCAAGACCAGCTACTTGACCCCTTGCAGTGAGTGGAGGATGATGGATCCACACTCTGCCAAATCACAGGCTGGAATTCCTCAGGCAATGGGGGAGATAAAACTCTGTGACAGCAGGCAGCCCAGTCCACACACACAGAGAACACCTGAACTGAGTGATCCCACACAGTGACAGATCCGACACAACACACCACCACCAACACTGACACAGATCAGCAGGCCCAGCAGGAGTTAAAAAAGAAGGCTGGGGGATCGTGACACTGACACATTGCACATGTGATGGCTGGCCAGCCGGGTCACACTCACACAGACACGAGACATCAGAGTCAGACATTACCTTTCTCCGCAGGTGCAGCTCTGCGTCTGCTAATGAATGGGAAGAGATGGGCTGGAACTCCACAGTGATCAGCAGGCGCCAGCCAGCTTGCAGTAAGGGACTGAGTCTGAGAGGAACATGGAAGGAGTGGCAGATCAATGGCTACACTGGCCCTAGACACCCGGCATCTTCCTCTGTCTTTTCTTTCTCCCCTCTGCCCCCCCCTCCCTTTGACTGAAGGATCATTCATGACGTGGCAACGTCCAACACAGAGAGAGTGCTGGCCTGTGCTGCACCCAGGCAGCCCTAGGTGGCAGTGCACCCTAGGTGGCTTCCTAGTTTGCCTAGTTGAAGCATCTGTCCTGTATATGAGTGCCACAACAAGTCAAAGTCACGGTGGCAAGGTGCAGATGCTCCAGAGCTTAGTAAATGAGAGGAAACTGCTGACTTCCATCATCAAATCATATGCAAGGAAAAAATGCTGTTTTTTTTTTTTTTTTCCTTGTATGTAATTGAGTATTCTTTGCAAAGTGAAGCTTTACTTTGTTTACTAAGCTGTGGAGCAACTGCATTTGCAAAGTCTAATTGCCTTTAGTAAATCAACTCCAATGTGTTTTTCTACTTAACATATGATAGTTTATATTATTACATTATATTTAAAAATATTAGGGGTGGATTAACTAAAGGGAAATACTTAGAGCTTAGTTATAGTGGTAAAGCTCTGCCAATTTCAATCTTCCAATTACGTGCAAGCAAAAATGCTGTTGCTTTTATTTTCCTTGCACCTGATTGGGTTTTTTTACAAAATGAAACTTCACCACATTCACTAAGCTCTGGGGAAAATGAGTGCAACTGCACTTACAAAGTGCACAGTTTATCTGCCTTTAGTAAATCCATCCTTATGTGTTATCTTAAAGAGGATCTTCAGTCTCCCTCCTATAATACTGTAGCTTTCGACTTTTAACCTTCTTGGTGGTAATCCCGAGTGTGGCTCGGGGTTAATTTTCAGTACCAAAAGCGGTAACCCCGAGCTACACTCGGGATTACTCCATAGTGCTTCTGCTTTCCCCTCAATCCCTACCTTGTTCTGCGATCCCACAGTGTCTGCCCACTGTGTCCTCCGGCTGATGCCGGCATCCGTTTTAAGGGTTCCGTTCCCTGCAAGCGTTGGTACGCATGGGGGCAGAAGCGGCGGGAAATTAAAAAAAGTAAAAATATGACATACTCACAATGCATTGTAATCTGTTAGGATTACAGTACTGTATCATACCATTTCACCTCAGTTTTGTCCCTAGTGCTTTGTCCAGTGCCCTTCCTGCACTTTTGCTGTTCTTTCTGCCTGGAAACTTGAGAATGTCCATGGCGTCCAAAAAGCGTCTCTTTAGGTCAAAAGCAGTTTTAGGCCAGCTAGAAAACAACGATAGTGCATTAGAATCACTTGCAGAATTGAGCGATAGTGATTTGTGGGGAAATTCAGCATCAGACACTGACATTATTGAGTTACGTTTATCATTATTATATTATTATTTATTATAATTATTTATTATATTGTAATTTATGATTTTGTGTGTTTATCATACCTGGGATGTTTACTAGACTCTTATTTGGACAGATTTAGGTGAGTTATTCCTAATAATTATAGGCCTACAATATAAAACAACACATTTCCACGCAAAACAATGTACCGCTTTGACATTAAAAATATTGATTAGTTAGACTGTCAGGGAGGTTAATAAAAGGTCACTTACCTATAAAAGGATCCAACACCATCCTCATCCAGACTGGTTGTTTGCTGGGTCCCCCATGTTTACTAAGAAAAACCGGATGTGACTCCTTGCAGCCTCCCAGTCAGGCACAAAGCCTGATGCACTTTGTGCATGGTCCCGCAGCCTTCGGGGACCTGTGACTTGTCCCAGAAGGCTGTGGGCAAAGGGGCGGGGGGTACAAATGTCCGCTCAGATCCCCCAGGGGATTCGGACAGAAGTGTGTAGGTGGCCAAATGAAGTTAATGGTAGCACATTGCCTGCATGAACTCATGCAAACCTGTTAAACTTTGCTGTGTAGATGTATCTGTACAGCCTATGCACCCCCACTCACTTTCTTTGGGCAAATACAAACTGGTAAAGCAACATGGTCTGGTTAAAAGAATATTGAGATCAAGGGTCCCTGCAATAGAAGAGCTTTTATACTCACAGAATAGTACTGGGCTGAAAGTTCGACCGAGAACTTTGAATGGGGACAATTCACTAAGCGCTATCTTACCAGATGTGGTATTTTGGTAGTGAAAGCATTCTTTAATGTTTCATCTGTCAGCGGGCTTCCCTGCTGACAGCTGAATTTAAAAAAAAATTGCTGGCAATTATTTTTTTTTTTTAAACGTCTTGGGGTCCCCCCATCCATACCAAACCCTTCGGGTCTGGCATGGGGGTCACCCCAAAATTCAAACCAGACCCATGCATGCAACCCGGCTGGTCATGAAAGGGCCGAGCGGCCCCCTCCTGACCATACCAGCCACATGCCCTCAATGTGGGGGAGGTGCTTTGGGAAAGGGGCCCCCCCAAGGCACCTTGTCCCCATGTTGTTATTCGTAGATCCCCACAACCGTGGCCAGTGGTTGTGGGGATCTACGAGCGAGGGGCTTATTGGGATCTGGAAGCCCCCTTTAACCCCCCTGTGGTCAGGTGCATTGCTTTGGCCAATCACAATGCACTGTCAAGGTGCAGTACATTGTGTGACACGATGGGCGAACAGACTTGAACGTCAAGCCCAACTCTATCACAGAATTTTCAAGTGCCAAAGACACTGACAGAGGCCTCAGTGCTTGGATGGAGGGAAGGTAGGAGACATGGGCTGCTAGCGAGGTAGGTATAAACTCTGCTGGAACAATGATTTCAGTTTTCTTTTGTTTTACCCTGAATGGATCACTTTTAAGGTGATATTAGAGCAGCCAGCAATTGCATGATCACCGCTATAGCAGTAAGATGTCACCATAGCGACACTGCATTTGCTCTGGTGACAGTATGTAAAATTTTTTTTTTACATACTGTCACGGGAGCAGTGCAGTGTCGCCATAGTTACACTGTACTTCTCTGGGGGTGATTATTTTTTTTACACTGTGATTGCTTACACAGTCATTATGAAGTATAAGAAGCCACTTCTAACACTGGTGGGCTGCATTCATGCAGCCTTTGATTACTACTATGATCGCTGCCCTACCTGCGCCGCTATTGGCTGCTGGATATGTCAGTCACCGGGTCCTGGCCAGCGATTCCTGGCTGGGACTTGGTGTTCGTCGACAGGGCTGAGAGGGGAGAGATCTGTGTATAAACAACACAGATCTCTCTCCTGTCAGCATGAACATGCTGCTTTGTATCTCTCTGCACAGCAGAGAGATAAAAAGCAGCATGTCTCCCTAGTAAAACACACATCACACAGTTAACCCTTTGATCATCCCAGATGTTAACCCCTTCCTGCCCAGTATCATTAGTACAGTGTCAGTGCTTTTTATTAGCACTGATCACTGTATTAGTGTCAGTGGCAGTTAGTCAGTTTCCACCCACTGTCAGAATTCCCGCCGCAGTCCCGCTATAAGTTAGCAATCGCCGCCATTACTAGTATAAAAAAAAAAAAAATTCCAGTATATATATACCACCATTTGTAGATGCTATACCTTTCACGTAAACCAATTCATATACAACTATTGGGATTTTTTTTTTAGCAAAGACGTAGCAGAATACATTTTGGCCTAAATTTAGGAAATTTAAATTTTTTTATTGGATATGTTTAATAGCAAAAAGTCAAAAATATTTTTTTTTCTTTGAAAATTGTCGGTCTTTTTTTGTTTATAGCGCAAAAAAAACCCATAGAAGTGATCAAATAGCACCAAAAGAAAGCTCTATTTGTGGGAAAAAAGAACATAATTTTAATTTGGGTGCAGCCTTGCATGACTGCACAATTATCAGTTAAAGTAACGCAGCGCCGTATCGCAACAAATGGCCCGGTCAGGAAGGGGAGTAAATCTGCTGGAGGGCAAGTTGTTAAAATGGTTTAGGTACAATAAGATGTGGAGTGCAATTACTGATTATGGTCCCTTTCACATGGGTGCTGTGCTGTAGATGGTTGAGCTGCATTTTTAATTCTCCTCAGCTTCCTGTGAAAACCAGAAAATTGCTGCCGGACAGCCCCATATTAATTGCCAGCAGCACAAAAACTTGTGCTTTGTGGTGTTGCTAAAAAAATGGGGGCATCTCACATTCAGGATGCATGTCACCCAAACACATTTGTGGTGAGGTGTGTAGGCAGCACATCCCCTCCCAATTGCCTGCTAACCACAGGTTATCCATTGCTGACCATGCAATCCACTACGGATTGAGAGTCAACAGCTAAGCCCAAGTAAAAGAAGTCTAGAACCTCTTTTTGCAAAATTAAAAAAAAAAAAATATGCAGTGGGCTGTATTAACTCACTCTTGCAATATCAAAAGCATGGCACTGCAAAAGCGTCCACCATGTAACTCTGCATTTGGCATGCATTTACCTTTTTTTAAAACCTGTTATGCTAACAGAATTTCAGCCTGTCATTCCAGAAGAGACTGAACTAAAATAGATTCATCCTGCATAGCGCAATTGGTTATTTTCATCTTCAGTCTGTCATCTTACACCCACAAGTTAACTTTCTGTGACCAAGCTTCAGTAGTGCTTCTAATTGAACATTATTCATACTTCTTGATAAAATTTTCTTTAAAAGAATAATTTTTAGCTGTACATTTAACTGGCTGCTGCTTGTAGTAATGCCAAAGTCTCTGGACAGTCGAGAAATTGCGATGGGGAGATTTACTAAACCTGGTGCACTCAGAATCTGGTGCAACTATGCATGGTAGCCAATCAGTTTCTAATTTCAGCTTGTTCGATTTAGCTTTGACAATAAAACCTGAAAGCTGATTGGTTTATATGCAGAGCTGCACCAGAATTTGCACTGTCCAGTTTTGGTAAATCTCCTCCTATGAGTTTTTTTATTTAAAAAAAAAAAGGTAATTTGCCAACTGATTTACTTGCTTTGATTCTTCTCTACTGCTTCAGCAGACAGAACCGCCTGAGGAACCAGGTTTTGGCATCATAACACCGTTGGATGATAAGGTTTACCTTCAGCAGTGCTACACCAGCAAACCGTATTCGGGACAGCATAGCCTCAGGAAATTGGAAGCTGTAAGTTGTAGAACAAGAGTATCTACTATTATAATCCACTTGGGGAGCTGCATACCATGTAAACACATCTAGCTTTAAAGACCATAAACCTTTTATATAAGTACATCTAGAAAGTGTACAGTGGAGTAATGAAAACATAAAACAAAAATCATTGTTTTTAAAAGCCATGAAAAAGCTGAACTGTGATTCCTTTCATTAAGAGAATTTACCTTAAAGCTAAACTTAAGGAATTATATATTTTAAATTTATATTGAGCCAGCTTGGTTACATGTAATTAACTATGTGTCACATCCAGATGGCCACTGGAGATGTTTAAATCCGCTATTAGTAGTCTGTACTACATGCAATCAATTCTCTTATATTCTGGCTGCTGCTGGGGGGCAACTTGCCATCTGAACACTAAAAATGGAGTTCCTCAATCCCGTAACATTCCTGTTCAGCACTTTTTGTTGTATTTTTTCAAGGGTGTTATCTAATTGAATGAGGTGGTGGTCATGACATCTTCTGCCCCTCTTCTCCACCTTGTCTTATTAGGCTAGGTTCACACTTGTGTGGGTGGTTGTGGGTGTAGGAACAGGTATTCTGAATTTTCAAAGTTTTAAGTGTCTGTAAAAACATGGGGGGGGGGGTGTCATTTCTCATCTGAAGCAACACATGGTTTTAGGTGCTTCAATGCATGCATTTGTTTTTGTACGGATAGTTTTTGGACATTTATTATGCAGAGTGAGTGAGAAGCATACAAAATAGGGATTTTCCATGGAGGAAAATTCAAAAAAACCACACAATAAATGCCATATTCTATGGAGAAATGGTTAGAAAATCCAGCAAATTATATTAAAAAGTAGCACATTATTTCATGATGTCTACTATTACAGTCATTCTTATATAGGGTTCCTCCAGAGCTTGCTAGGGGTTCCTTGAGCTGTAGTTGATTGATCTCCGATCTGATAGTGCTTGAATAGTTCCATGTTTAGTGGTACTTAGCAGGGCCAGTGACATGTCAACAATGATCTTTCTAGCTGTTGGTATCGGAGGCATAGCGACTACCACTGTAAGGGGGCCATTCTTCCATTCTTCCTTTGACCTCCAATGTAAGGGGCATTCTTTTTCCAATGAATTGATTTTAACGGGGGTTCCCTGAGACCTAAAATTGTTTCAAAGGTGCCTCTGGAAAGAAAAACGGTTGAGAAAGGCTGAACTATTACAATTGTTGGTATCCTGCAATAATTTGACTTTGTGTGGGTAGTTTTACTCATGACCATAGCCCCTACTTCTAGAAGTACTTTAGGGATATCTGAAGGACATACATTTTCAAGCTGAGACTTCAGTTATAGATATACTGTAAATAGAAGACTGTACAGCCTTTTCTTTAGCAAGGTTACATTGATTGGTTGGTATACAATGTCCAGAGGTCACCTTTACTGGCTGGAGAAACTCACTTGATAGTTATAAATCAGGAACTGACAACACTGTATTCAGCTTGTTTATTGTTGCTGAGATTTTCTTGAGCGATGTCTAACCCTCCCACTACTTTAATGTGGATATTTTTTGTCTGTTTTAACAACTTCTCTGCAACATAAACTTCATAAAGGGTTTGCTCAGTGCTGCAAGGTGTAAAACCAAACTGTGTTGCTTAGCTTTGCTTAGGATGTGTGCATTTTAATGCATTGCTAAGCAATGCGCTGCAGATGTTCAAGTGCTGAAAGGGATTTACTGTGTTTTTTTTTTTTGTACTGGATGATTCTGAATTTAATTGGAGATGTTGCTGACATTTCAGCTGCTTTAGGATATGCCTGGATTCTTAGCTCATGACGGGAGTCTGGCAGAGGCCTTGGAAGCAAAAAGCTGCCTTAGAATAGCAGGATGAAATCCCCTTGTCACTTGTAAATCTCAACACTGTCTTGAAATGCACATTAAGTTGATTATCCTACTTTCAGTTAAACTAAAATGTTTTTTTTTTTATATTCACCTGGTTGTAATTGCAGGAAGACATGGCTGCAGAGAGAAGAAAACAGGCTGTTGTAGAGCAAGTTATGATAGACCAGCTCTCTAGGTATAATGTAATATGTAGACATATTGAATATCATACTCTATTACTGTACTCTTTTCACCTTTACTGTTCTGTAACTAGATCCTTGATTCAAGCCTTCTTCAACTTTATTCTTCTGAAAGTAGATCTTTGATTCAAACCCTATTGTGGCAAAAAACAGTAAAGTCCTCCCTCAGTGCCAGTTTGATTCTAGTCTGTCTTTTATTTATAATGGAGGAATAAAGCTGTTCATAAACAATAGGCAGTGACTAGATGTGCATTTATTATCTGACAGCTGCTGCCCATTCTTTTTTTATGGCATTTTACAACATAGACGTGTCTAATGTTATTTTGCAACAGTAGTTTGTCAGCCAGTAATTTTTTTCCATCCAGTAAAGAGTCATTGGGGGTGTTAACATTTTTCCCTATACACATAGCCTTGGGGATGATTTACTTAAACTGGAGAGTGCAGTCTGGTGTAGCTGTGCATGGTAGCCAATCAGCTTCTAACTTCAGCTTGTTCAATTATGCTTTGGCAAAAAAAATCTGGAATCTGATCAGTTTCTCTGCAGTGCTGCACCAGATTTTGCACACCCCAGTTTTAGTAAATTAACCTCATTGCATTCCAATCTTGCTAAATAACAAAAATCAGGAATTGCTATTAGCATCTGTCGGTACATTTTACCACTGATAGCATTGCCTTGATGTGTTTTGTTGTATTAACAACAGAGTGGATCTTTATTTTTCAACAGGGTATTGTAGCAAGCTATAGTGAATTTTTTCTGACCTGGTCTAACCATGTATATCTTATGATAATATTGTACAGACCATTGTAGTTATTTCAAAGGGTACAAAAATAAAACACAAGTTCACTTTTATATAATACAGATCTAGCTTTGGTAATGGATTGCCGGGGACTACTTTGAAGGTTGTTGTTCTTAAGGGCAGTATTTTCAATGAGAAGCTAAAATCAATAACATGTGAGCATGACCTCAAACTAGCAGGAGGAAAGTTCAAAACTAATCTTAGAAAGTATTATTTTACCAAAAGAGTAATTGATGCTTCGATTAGACTTCCAGCAGAGGTAGTCAATCAGTCAACAGTAAGTGGATTCAATCATGCTTGAGCAAACATAGATCTATACTCAGACAAAAAGTTAAAAAAGAAAACAAATATACATTTTTAAAAAATGGAGCAGACCATTTGGTCTTTTTCTGCCGTCACTCTTCTATGTTTATTTATTTATTTCAGGTATTTATATAGCGCCATCAATTTACACAGTGCTTTAAATACTAATCAAACCCTGTAAATTTTAATACTAGAGATGGACTTTAGCTTTAAATGCTTGTTAACCAAATCCATGTAAGCCTTGGAAGATCAGCAAGATGAAAAGGAAAAAGAGGCTTTTCCAAGATCTTAAAGTAAACCTGTAACAATATTACCTACTAATAACATAGTATTTGGTTAACAACTTTCAGTGCAAAAAAGGTCAAAATGATCAGTAGGATTCAGACACAGGCAGCTAAGGTTAAACGCAAAGCCAAATTTTCCTGTAAAAGTTGAGCTTGGCCCCACCCTCTCCCTATAGGTTTTTTTAAAGTCACACTTTTCTTTCAAGGTCCAGTTTAGCTGAACTTGGCTTCAGATGCCAACTTCAGCTTTTACAGGAAAGGTGGACTTTTGCATATATCTTTCTTCCCTGGTCCAGCTAAATTCACTGTGCTGTGCCCGATCCTGGGACTGCAAAGCATTCGCTCAGAAAATGTTAAAGCTGGGGTGCCCATTAAGCATACACAGTATGAAAATTTTTGAGCAAAGACTGGGATGCTGAGCAGGATGTACAGTAAATATTGCTGTTGTAAAATGTATTATTAGGCCTCATGCACACTGGGTGTTAGTTGTATAAACTTGTGTTAAAAACACAAGTTTTTCCACAGTTTTTAGCGTTTTTGCATAGCATTTTTTTTTCATTAGCGTTTAGCCGCATTTGTTAGCACAAAAACATTTTACCTTAGAAACGCTCAAAAGCGCTGGTTTGCATTTTACCGTGTTTTACTGCATTTACCAGCATTAAAGCGTTTTTACAACTAAGACTCCTCTTGAAACCCACTAGTTCTGGGGGGTTTTTCCCAGCCAGAAAACACCCCTGCTAAAAAACTGCTGATGAAAGCATATGTGTGCTTGGACACATAGGATAACATGCTGGGGAGTTTACTTGCTATAGAAAACAACGCCAGAAAACCAAAAACAGTAGCTGTAAAAATGACCAATGTGCATGAGGCCTAATTCAAAAATTATAGAGGTCCTACAACACCTCGGGATTGATTAAAACTGGAGAGTGCAAAATCTGGTGCAGCTCTGCATAGAAACCAATCAGCTTCCAGTTTTTTTTTTTGTCAAAGCTTAATTGAACAAGCTGAAGTTAGAAGCACACAGCTGCAGATTTTACACTCTCCATTTTTAGTAAATTAATCTCCTTGAATAGATAATGTATTCTTTCTGTTGTGTTTTCTCTTAGGGGTGGCATGTATTTCTTTAATCATGGCTCCAGTCTATTTTTTGGCAAATTGTGATGCTCAATGATTCTCTTCATAATCAATAGCACATATACATATGTATATACACACATGTCTCACACTGGGTGACAACTTTTTTTTTTGCCACAACACACATCATGGCAATGCTACCATTGGTATATTTAATTTAAAAAAAATCATTCTTAAAATATGGCGTTGGACTCCCAAGACCTTGGGGTTGATTTACTAAAGATAAATAGGCTGTTGCTTTGCACTTTTCTGGCAGTACAGTGAAAGTCTGTTGAGAAACTACTCAAAAATGTATGCACTATGAGACTTATCCACTCAGGCCTTATGAACAATGGATGTTTAGCCCCAGTGCATGAAATCTGGCCATTTCCTGCAGGCAGAAGGCATGGACACACTTCCAGCCTGCTGCCAGC